ATATTTACTACCGAAATAGTAATTAACCCGGAATTTAAATAAAAGCTTATTACTAGCCTCTGGGAGAATTCGAAATTCGCAAGAGCCTTAGAGATACTAGATATAAAAAAGAATAATATATTAGAAAAACTATTAAAAGTTAATATTTTTTTCTAAATAAAAGAAGGCTTTCTTTATTATATTATTAGTAACTAATTCCGACTTTATATACCTAAAGAAATAGTAAAAGATATCTTATATCTAGCCTATAATAAGTTCTATTTCGGTATGAAATAAACCTTATATAAGCTAGACAAGTTCTGTATTCTATAATTAATAAAATACCTTAAAGATTATATTATATATTATCTAGCTTGTTTTCTTAATAGAATATTAAGATAATGTCCCTATAGAGAACTATAGCTAATTCGGATACTCCTGATTCCGTACTATATTATAATAATAAACTTTATCCTAGTACTTCCCGTTATCCTAGTTATTAGTTTTTAGAAAATTAATGGTTTTAATATCTTTAATTATATAATAATATAATTATATAAAGCTAGTAAGAAAACGTTATTAATACTAGGGAATAATAAGTACGGAATAGAGAAATAGGCTACTATCTTTATAATAATATAATTACTTTATAACTAGGGAATTCCTAAGGGCTTAATATTAGACTATAATAGGAAATTTATCTCTAATTTCTAGAAACATACTTTTATAATACTAGATATAAAACTACTTATATTAATTACTTAATATCCCTAGATAGATAGGATTTCGGAATAAAAGAATTAAACTATTAAGATTAGCTTTTAATATTAGATTATAATATATCCGTTCCTAGAATAGTTAAGTTTTATAATCCTGTTCTAAGCCGGATTAAATAATATATATATAGTAGCTATTTAGATATCTTTAAATAAGTTCGTTAGGGGCTTTAAACTAGTAATAAATCTAATATTACTTATGGCCGAGACCTAATAGGAACTACCCGAGATTATTTGCAAGCTATATTAACGGGATACTAAAATTACTATTAACTTCGCAAATAATATAACTAGGAAGTACTATAATACGAAATATAAGCTAATTATAATAGATATTAGTAACTAGGTATTCTTAAGACTTTATTAAGGATACTATCTTTCTAGTAACCCGAATAGGAAACTATTAGAATAAAGAATAGGACCGTTTTATATCCTCTATTAAGTAGGAAAGCTTATATATGAATTGGAATTACTAATTAGCTAGAAAATTTATCCCGTTATCTCGGTAGTATACTTATAACTAGTACTAAAGGGCCCTAACCTATTTAGTAGAGAACCCGTTAAGGGTATATAACCTATAAAAAGCATTAAAAGAGATAATGAAGACTGGAAAAGCTAGGAGCTAAAACATATAGTTAATAAGAGATATACTTATTATAGTAGCAAGGAGAATCTGGAATATCTCGTTAAGTACCTGGGTTAGGGTAATGAACATAACTAGTAGTTTCCCGTCGAGCTATTAGGAAACGCGAAAGAACTAGTCCAGGAGTACGAGACTAGACTAGTAATAAAGCCAGTCCCTCGTTATTATGGTTATACCAGAAAATAATAATAATAGTAAGATATATATTATTATTAAATATTCTTTTCCTTGCAAATACTATATAATATTACTATTCTTATTACGAGATAACTAGGCCCAATTCGGTAATCTGTTATAACCCCTTGCGAAAACAAGGCCATTTATATGAGTAATTTTTACTATTTACTAACTTACCTTATATATTGCAACTCACGAGCATATCCTAATACTCTTTCCTTCTATTATTAAACTAGAACCCTATATAATTCCGAATAATAATATAATTATACCCTAACCGCAAATATAAATAGTAGCCTAGCTATTATATAAAACTCGCTAATCCCGGCCAAGCTCTTATTATTAGTACTATACTATTATATTAATAATAAATTAAAGTCCGGTCTTATACCCAAGTCGGCGGATATTAAAGAGTACTTTAGCCTTTATAGTAACCCCATTAAGTACATTTCCCTCGGCAAGTATTATAAGCTAAACGCTAATATAAAGGCCCAACTTGACTGAATCCGCGAATACTTATACGCTTCTACTATAATAAACGCTCCCGCTATAATAAACACTCCCGCTATAATAAATGCTCTCACCGTAATGAATCCGGTACCGGCACCCACATATAATACCCCGGTAACGAGATTAAACAAATGTAAGGAGAGCGGTCACGTTAACATTAAGTAACTGAACCCCAAGAAGCGGGGACCAGGCCGACCCCTAAAGGCTAGGACCAAGGTTAATAACGAACTACTTTAAAAGACAAAGCAAATGGCTTAATAAATCCTTAATATAAATATGCAACTCGCCACTTATATAAAAGAGGTATTTCGGGTTAGCCAGAATATACTATCTATCTATAATATACTAGCTAATAATATGAATAATCTTATTAGTATAGTAGAGAATAGAGAATATAATAATAATATTAAGGAGCTTATCTGCAAAATCCGAAAGACTTGTTATAATACTACTATTAATAGTATTATATTTCTTTTTATAAAGAGAGACGGACTTCTTTCTCTATATAAACCCTTATTTATTTAGCTTAGTATTAATAATAAGACTGCTATTAAGATATGCGATTAGACTTTATATAAACTTATACTTAAGCAGGATAATAAGGTTTTAGTAAAGTAGCGAGATATAATTACGGAAAATTAATAGGTTATACTATATTATTAAAACATAATTAAAGTTATATTATATTATTTCCTATTAACCCCTAATAAGCCATACTATTCCCCTTTAATCCCTAAAGAAAGTAATAATAATAACTATAATAATAATAAGAATATCCTAGCTAAGAAGCGATTGTCTAGTTAATGAGCCCGATATAGTACCGCTATTAAGGATATAGAGTAAAAGGCTATTAAAGATATAGAGCAAGAAACTATTAAGATAGTTAAGGATATAAAAGTCATTGTCCTAAAGCATAAACGTTTTAAAGTACTATCAGGATATATTAAGATAGTAAAGGGCAAGTTTAAGAATGAAATCATAAAGAAAGTATATGATATTTCCCCGGGCTTTATATTAATATAAGAAGGCTTATTTATAGAGAATTCGGGAGAGGAGAAATAAGTATATATATACCTTATTAAGTTATCCCAAACCTCTTTTTAGGAAATTACTATAATACCTTTATATTTATAATTTGCATATATACTATATAAAACTTCCTCTAGTCTTTGGTAATTAGAGTATACTAGTAACTTATAACCTTATATCCCTAGTCTTTAGTAATTAGACGAATATATTTATAATACCTGGTTATGTCTCTAGTCTTTAGTAATCTTAGGGGCGTAATTATATAATACCCGTAATAGCTAGGCTCTAGTCTTGAGTAATCGGGAGAATAGCGGAACTTATTATAGTAATTCTTTTTATTTAATTAGCTACTTTTTCTTAGTATTTGTTTTGTTTTTTTAATTATAACGAGGATATTACTAGTATCTTCAGTGGCGGTAATTATTATATCGTGGATAATAAATAATAAAGGTTATGTTAGTATAATATGATATAAGCAATATCTTAGAAATAGCGCTTCCCTTATATAGTAATTAATTATCTTTTATACTTTACTTAATTTACTTCTCTTATATAATATTATATTACTATTTATATTATAGGCTTTGGATTTATAAATTACTAAATATATATATATATATATATTATAAAGAGTTCTTATTTAGAAGAGGTTTTTCTAAACCTTATAAAAGAAATAGAAATTAGTTTTATTATTTATTAATAAATACCTCATATAAATTAATTAAAATTCTATATAAGGTTTTTTTTTAAATAATATTTATATAAGCTTATTTAATAATAGCTTTATAATATAATAATAAATTTTCAAAAAGTTATATTATTATTTTAATAAAGATTAATAATATTATTAAATTTAGAATATACTTTATTATTATAATATACTTTTAATAATATTAGTAATAAATTATTCGAGTAATAATATAATATATCTTAAAATAAAAGATATTAAAAAGTATTAAAATTTAATTAATTTAAAAAATATTAATAATTAATTTTCTTTTATAAAAGCCTATATTTAATTAATAATTAAAATAAAGTTTATTACTAATTTATATTTATATTATAAATATTAAATTATTTTATTTTACCTCTTATATAATTTTATTAATTATAAAAAAAAGTAAATAGCTAGCTTTTTAATTTTTTAAGTAATTATTTTTCTTATTTCTTAATTTCGGAAATATAAAAGAAAAGTTATTAGATCTTATTAATTTAGTTATTTTAAAAGAGCTATAACTTATAATTATATAACTATAATAATTTATAATAAATGCCTAATTCTATATTATATTATCCGGCCCAATTCTAGTACTATTTTATATAATAATATAAGTTCTTATTTTATTTATTAATGAAGTAATTAGTTTTATTATTATTATATTATTTAAGCCAAAAGTTATATATAAGTACTATTAATAGCAAAATTAATAATTCTTTATTAAGATAAGTTTAAAAGCGATATACCATTTATTTATTGCCAAAATTGCCTTTAATTTCCTAATTAGGAATTCTGCCGGGGCGATAGCTAAGCTATACACTTTAGGCCTGGCTAAAATCGCGAAATCAAAAAATCAAAAAATCAGAAATTAGAAAATTAAATCTCGCTTCCACGTTTTGTCCGCTAACCCAGGTGTGGGCTCTGTCGGGCGGAGGGGGCTCGTTTAACATGGCTAATTTGCACACCCGGAAGCCGGATGAAAAGACATCCGAGTTGCTTGAGTATAACACTGCACAATTTTCTCTTGAAGCCCTGAAAATGATGCATTATCGTCAAACATATATACTAATTGATCGGTACAACTCTCTCCGGTTCGTTGCCAAGGACCGAACACCGCTTCGTCCTATTCTTCATCTATCATTGGTTTGTGCTTGGGAGGGGTCAGAGGCACAGTTCTTGAGGGACATATAAAAGCTGCTCTCCTGCCCTGATATTATCCTTGAATCTTGGGGACAATATTTTCATCCACTTCGAACATAAATACATACCTACCAAATCACATCTCCTTTCCCCCAAAATGTCCAAAACATTCCTCGTCACCTCCGCAAGTGGCTCTCAAGGCGGCTCCACAGCCCGTGAGCTCCTCAAACAAGGGCACAAAATCCACGCCCTCGTCCGGGACTCCTCCTCCGCGGCTGCAATCGCTCTTCAAACCCACGGCGCCATCCTCTTTAAGGGCGATTTCAACGACGCCCCCTCCATCGCCGCCGCAATAGAAGGCGTTGACGGTGTCTTCCTAAACACATTCCCCGACTTCAAGGACCCAGATGGCGAAGCACGCCAAGCACAGAATATTGTCGATGCCGCAAAAGCTGCAAAAACTGTGAAGACGGTTGTTGTTTCGACTGTGCATAAAGCTGCCGAATCAGCTGAACTCACTGCTCCCAAACCTGAGTATCCGTTCTTGAAGTACTACTATGCTCGGAAAGCGGGCGTGGAACGGGTTGTTATGGAGGCCGGGTTTGAGAACTGGACAGTATTGAGACCGGACTGTGGGTGCTGGGCGAGAATTTTCTTTCATACCTTTCTTGATGGTTTTATGTTTCTCCCTCGAGATGAGGTCCCCAGAGTTTTGAGACAATCTAGATCGAGCACTTGCTGACTCTCCCGTTATCTAGGGCTGAATTACCAGTACCTCGCTCCTGCATGCGCTGTCCATTTCCCAACTTACCGGGAAGAGCATGAGCTGACAGTGAGTTACGAGTCAACGTATAAAAAACGGCATTTCAGCCCTCGAGATGTAGGCAAGTTCGCTGCTGCTGCTTTGCTGGGGAAGGATGGATATAATGGAGAGGTCATTGAGCTTGCCGGCCAGGGACTGACGTTCGATGAGGTTGCAGCCATTTTGAGTAGAGTTTCTGGGGTCGAGGTGAAAGTTAGGTATAGGACTGACGATGAGACGAGGGAGTTGAATGAGAGTGGAAAGTTCCCAGTGTTGGAACAGCAACTTTTGTCGAGGGAGGTAACGTACAACGAGTATGATCCTAAGGAGTTGGAAAGGTTTGGGATTACGTTGGAGAGCCTGGAGGAGTATTTGCTGAAGGACAAGGGGAAGTTGCTGGAGACGTTGGGGGTGAAGGGATGAGCATTTTTATTTGGGTGCTGATAGACAGGAGATGTCCAATTACAGAAAAACAACTTCACGATCCTTTTCATCCACTTACTGTCTTGTGTTTCATTGTTCTATATACCGAGCTGCTTCGTAGCGTAACCTTGCCGTGAATTCCGAAAACATTGTCTAGTATCATTGACCCCATCGAAATCATCCAATCCATGTGTTTCGAAGACCGTAATATATCATATCACTAAAAATTGATAGCCAAAGATTTCTCGTTTCCACCAAGCTAGCTGCTTTTATCATCAAGAAACTTCTCCACCGCCCCTGCAAGATATTCGTGCACTCTCCAAGTAATATGTCCAGAATTGTACCAGAAATACTCCTCGATAGGCAAGCATCCATACGCGGCATAGTTGGTGGCAATATCCGGCGCGTCGTATCTTGGACAGTATGATTTCGTGTTTCTGATGCCGTATTCCGAAGGATTGTCAAGGATACCCGAAAGAAAAGAATATGTGTCAAAGACCATTGCTTTGGTCCCTGGATGGGAAGCAGCAAATTTGGTTGCAGATGAGGAAATGATGTTATTGTATTCATGGACCATGGTGCTGTTTGGAAGTGGGTGAGAGCTCAGTTGATTGCTGGGCTGGTACATGTCAATTCTGAAGCCACGAAAAAAGATATGGGGACTCAATGGAGCGTACCGTTCTATCCAACGGAGGGAGATTCATAAACAAGAAATTTCGATATCTAGCTTCGTATATCTGCTTAACAGCCTCGAATTCAGTTTCTATGATCTCGCTGTAGAAAGATGGGAAATCTGTGGCATTGTTGCGAGGAAAGGTGTACTTTGCAGAGTCGCTTATATCGTTTATGCCGATGAAAATCGCGACCAGTGCTCTGGAGACCTCTAATGGAATCACTGGTCTGGCATAGATTGACCACTGTTTGATTTGGTTCACGAAGGAGACGGTAAAGTTGTGATGAAGAGGAGTACTGTTTTATGTGAGAAGAAAATTCACATAATGTACTCGAACTCGGCGTCTTACAATGTTGTTGAGACATCCGATCCGGCGAACGCAAAGTCCCAGAGCTGTCTCCTACATTTTGAAGGGAGCCCAGAGAAACATCCTGTGAGGTATTCGACCCAGTTCGGTCCACCAGCTGATGTACCAGTCTGCACGCGTCAGATAAGCATATCAAAATCCACCATTTTCAAGATTCTCACTTGGTTTTGGACAATCTCATCTGTCAAGAGAGTTTGTGGGCTATATGAATAGTTTTGAACATCTCCAATGAAAGAGTAATTCTGACGTCCGGCTGTCCCTTGTACATAGGTGTAGGAGTCGCCGAAGGCAAGTCTGGCAGTGTCAATTATGTACAAGGGATCGGACGAATACGCTTACAGAAAGTTTACCTCGCCCCACTTGAAGCTCGATGAAGGTTGATGCCTTGGCAAAGCCTTGCTAAGCTGAAGCCAATAGCAGAGAACTATACCAAGAACAAGCTTCATGACGGCGCAATTAAGTTTTGAAATGCAGCTGTTCAAAACTCCACGAAAATCTATCAAGAATTATCCCCTGTTCTACAGCTGATCTTGTATGTTCTATCCATAATTTAGCCTACAATGCGGGGGTGACGTTTATGTGCTGCGGAGAAATTCATTTCCGCAGGCAGTGTCGATCTTCCAGATCTTCCCCGCCGGGGAAAAGGCTATTCCTGTCCGGGAACACTGGGAAGATGGCATATTTGATGACCCCGACAAACAACAAGTTTCCCCCATAAAGTATTGACTACTAATCAGAAGAGTAAGCTACATATCTCCTCTGTGATTGATATCGAAGAATTTGGATTTTGGCTAAGTCGCACGTGACTTTCTATTGAAGTATTGCAACCTAGAACGCCCGACTCAGACCTTGCTGAGCCTACGAGGTAAAACTTTGCGCCGCCGTCTTGTCTGTAGAGCTTGCTCACCGGAGATGAGCGCCGTCGTAGATTGGGCGAGAAGTCACCGTAGTGACGCGGTCGAATTATGCCTGGTTGTGGAGGGTGGGAAAATTCGCGAGTGACTACCCGCTTTGAAATAGTGCAAAAGCGAAGAATTTAATAGCCCGCAGCTTTTGACTCATGCTGTGGTGTCGGTAATGTAAGTTCCAAGTATCGTCAAGCTTGGTGTTGCCAGTTCTCTCATGAAAAATAATCTGATAAATAGACAGTGTTTGTTGAGATGTCAAGGGGATCCAGAAGTTTGGGGCCATCATCGATGGGAAAAAGAATTCTTTGACCCAATGCAAAGGTCTGGTTTGCTTTATGGATATCCCTTTAGATAAGGATGATTTCGCGCTCCTTCCCATCGTCTAGTCCGTGGAAACCCACAGTGAAGTCGATATCGCCCTGCCGGGCCTCTATACTGAGCTTCGTGACATAGTAAGGAATGAGATCAATGGCAAAAGGCTCTTGAACCCCTTCATCAGAATCTTTAAGGGCCTTCAGAACATCCGCCTGTTCGATCTGAATCTCTAGCCGGCCTCGCCGCTTGTACGTTTTCGCTCCTTCGCACTCTTGCAAAACAAGCCCATACCACCTCTGGCCATACGCTTTAACGCTGCAAAATGCAGCGGGCATGAATATCAATTCTCCAAATAAGATCGGGAACTCCCGTCGATGTTTGAAGAAAATTTGTTCGTACTCTGGATCGTCGAATGTGAGCCAACCGGGATACCTCTTGCCTTTGATGAAGACTTCAAGCACATTGTCCTTTGGAGGACGTTTTGGATAAGGGTCAATTGCCAACCAATCCGAGGGTGCGTCAGCAGGAATCAACTCCTTCCCTGCTTGTCCAAAGTGTTTGTTGGCTGTACATGGGACGGTGAAGATCCGTGCTTTGAGGCGTAGAAGAATCTTTTCCCGTTGGTGGGAAGCCTGATACCCGGCCATGTCGATGGAGGATCCTAGGTACTGGAGGTGGATATCTTCTGCCCATAACTGGAACGGATCCCACATCACCGTGCATCCCGTAGAAGCCCAACTCCAGCTGGGAGCGACGAACTTCTCGCAAGTCGAGATGCCACGCAGATCTGTGGCGCCAATACGCTCCCAGAGCAACTGATGAGCGATATCATTTCGCCAAAGTCCCGCAAGATACTCACCTCCGGTTGCATTCTGGACGAGCTGTGCCAATCCACTCAATGCAACTAGTACATCCGTTGGGAAAGTCAACTTCATTCGTGAGTATAATTCCACGATAGTTCTCCACCGTGGTAAACTTTCGACTCTGTTCCACGGTCCTTACCCTCCTTCAGCTTGGCCGCAAGGTTCTTAACCTCCAGAAAGTGCGTCCACAGAGTAACACTAGCGGGCCCGTTGGGGGCAACATCGGGATGCGTCTCACAAGCTCTGACATGCTCGCACTCCCACACGATCTGCTCTGCTCCAAAATGCACAACCCTTGACGAAAGAAGGCGTTCTTGGAACACCCATCCCCGGGAATTCAGCGGTCCTTTCTCAACCGCCCTTTGCAGTCGATTGTAATCCATCACCTGACATTGTCCATCCGCATAGCGTTCATAAAGTTCATCGCGTAATGACTGCAAGCGTTCGTCGAACGACCCTTGCCCACGTTGGAAACGATTGAAATCTATCATTTCATAGCGATCCTTCACACCTTTCCCGAATTCCCACTTGCATGGAATTTGGAGGGATTGAATGGCAGCCGCATTACGAAAGTAGAAAAGCCCGCCGACCGAGTCTGGTGATGCAGTTGCTGCGAGGTTGCAGTACGCATCCATGTATATCTTATCCATTTTGGATGATTGGTCTCTCCAATCTGGCGCCGAGTCTTGAATAATGCAGAGTGAGTCGACCCAGATATATCTCTCGCCCAGTTGCCGGGTTGCTTCAACGGCGTCTTGAAATGTTTTCGGGAGCGCTAAAACCTCGATTCCAGCTTGAAATGAGGAGAGGCCGGCCTGTGTCAATTTCATTACCTGGGCATTACCCCAGCAGTGACTGAGCGTCAGATATCGAGAACTTTGGTCTTCTTCGGAGAGGTCGCCGTGCAGGCGTAGATGGACGGCATTGTCACCCAGACTCCCAACGTCGATGATGCGGTCTGGGAGGATTCTGTGCCCAACTGGAGCTTCTGTACCGTGCTTCTCTGTGCAATTCTTCAGCCAGGTACGGATTAACTTCCACGTCTCGGGAGAATTGCTATGCACGGATGGCTGATGAGTGATCGTCGGTTCATCGCTTCCTTTTCTGATTCAGCAAATATGTCTCAAATTGGCCCAGCAGTCTTACCCATTAACGCTTCTACCCAAAGAAGCACATCCGGTTCATGCATCGTTCCCGTGCTGTTGAACATCAACTCTGAGCGCGGGGAGGTGTTGTAGGTCGTCTTCCTTGACCATCTCGTCCGAAATTCGTCCATCGCCTTTGGAATCTGATCCCAGATAGTGTTACACAGGAGGCATCCTTGGTCCCTTGCGAGTTGGAATTCTTCGAGGGACGAGTGGTGAGGATATTCTATGCAAGGCTGTGGGTCGTGGCCGAAAATATTTTCGCATGCAGGGCAGAGAATGGAATCCATGACCGATGAGAGGACGAGACTTCTCTATTTGCTCTCTCAACGGCCAGTTCCCGCTTCGAGGGAAAATAGAGGGAGAGGAATCGAAACAGCTTTGACTCGAGCCTCGTTTTGCTCATTCTTTCTCGAAAGTGAAGAAACCGAGGCTTCAGCTGAGTCGCCCGCCAGCCACAGCGAAGGGGCTTGGCCACTCAGCCGCTCCACCCCAAGACATGACGTACAGTACTCAGATATAGCATTCTGTCTTCCTCAATCTTCATTCCCGAACAAATGTTATTTGATGTCAATCAAGAGATGAGATGATATTTGGGAAGTTTAAGCTGCCTGGTGCAGGGATGGTGCTGTCGACCACGCGAAACACCACTCGGATCCCCCTTGTATCTCCGGCCAACGAGTCCTGTCAAAGACAAACCAGGACTGAGGAACAAAGCTAATAATAAACAGCTAACTTTTGCATGATTTCTTCGTCAAGATTAAGATTTCTATAATGCTTTCCTCGATATCAAACCGTACCGAGTCCGGCCGAGGGTCCCCATTTACAGCCCGCTGCGCAGCCATTTGAGCCACGTTTCAGGGTCACCCCACCACTCTCGCGTCACTTGTGGCTCGTGGCTCCGCTCTCAAAACAAAACATCATTCGGCAGGGAAAAACACTTAAAACTGACGTCGCGCATATCTTCAAAACCGTATGATGGCCAACCCAGCATTCACTTTCGACTCTCCGCTGCTCAAAGCAAACTCCTGTTACAGGCTATGAGGGACAGCTCTTTTTGTGAGAGACACGACGTCCCAGGCCAGCATGTCGATGCGAAATGAGATGATCAGGCGGTGGAAGGAAAGACGCTCGGCTTCAGGTACCTCGACCCTCACGGATGCTTCGGCTGCAATTACTCGGCCTACGACTGCGGTCGATTCAGAGGCAGAGGCCGAATTTCGCAATCATGCCCTGCCCAAGATCATTGAAGGTGCCGTCGTAGCCGCGTTCAGTAGCGACAACTTCCGGGAAGCCGTCGCGTCGATGGTTGACCCAGCCTTCACGAGGCAACACGATAAATTGAACCAGCTGAAGTTAGCGAACTTGAATTTGGAGTCCTTGCTTCAAACACGTCTCGATGAGCTCCCTTCGTTGTTGCAGCCGGCTATAGATCACATGACCTCTATCGAAGTCCCTGGCCATGAAAAGGAATTGGAAAAGCTGGCGGCAGGACAGGATGGATGCCTCCACTTGCTAGAAGTGTTCAGTGAGAAAATCGGCGGGATTGAGCAACAGCTCCAAGGTTTCGACGGACGAATGAAAGCTCTCGAAGAGAAGGTGGTGAACGCTGATTTGAGATCAGCCATCCGGTTCGGGGAGATCTCGAACGAGCTCCAGGATCGGAACACCACTCTGAATGACCGGCTTTGGGAACTGGAAAGAGAAGTGGGCGGGAAGGTAGACGGGCAACAGCGACGAATTGTTGGACTTGGCGAAGACTTTGGAAAAGGAATACGGAAAATTCAGGAGAGAATGTCGGCACTGGAAACATTGCAATCTACCCAGAAGGGCGAGGGCTCAGTCTCCAATGACGATTTATTTGAAAAAATTGAGAAGATGGGCAAGCCGTTATCGAAATTAGACGCCATGGAAAGCAGCCTGCGACGAGACATTCACGCCCTTAGTTCCAAGGTCTCCTCATTGGATACTTCGTCTCTTGAGTCTCATCATCGGAGACTTGAAGGGATTGAGAGAGCATTGTCGGGCATCAAGGATGAGATTGCTACTCAAGGAACGCTTGCCTCCCTGGATTCAAAGCTTCTGTCTGTCAATAATGCTCGCCTCGACACTGTTGCATCCAATGTGACCAAGCTTGGCTTCCTGCTCGAGTCCGTCAAAGAACAAGTGTTTGATGACGAAGCTGCTCAGTCACACGCGGAGAAGCTGGAGTCCCTCCACCTGAAAATGGTTGACCTAATCGGTGTCATTGGCTCAGTCCAGAAGCATGTTGATTCTCTTGATACGTCCGTTCTCACATCCCATTCCGAAAAGCTGGAGGTGCTTGAGTCAAAGATGGCAGAACTGATTGGCGGTGTTGGGACTGTACAGCAGCACGTCAGGTCTCTGGATACATCCGCACTCACATCCCATTCGACACAATTAGGCGAACTAGTATCAAGCCTGACTCGAGTTGAGGAGCAGCTCAAGCTTATCGATACAGCCCCTCTCGCATCCCATTCGGAACGACTTGGAGACCTTGCATCAGACATGGCACTCGTTCAGATGGCTCTGAAGGAGGTCGATACAACCCCTCTCTCTTCACATTCCGAAACACTGTTTGAAATCGAGGCAAGGATTGCAGAGATGCGAGAGAGCATCGACGGCAAGCTTTCAACGCAAGCCGAATCGTTCGACATCATCAATGGAAAGATATCGTCGCTTCCGGAGGTGGCCAAAGTTGATTCTATCTTGGCAAGCCTGGAAGACACCAAGTTAGCAACCTCAAATGGTATTGAAACTCTCTCAATTACGGCCGATAAGATCCTGGACAACTCCACCTCAACCCAAGCTACCCTCTCATCCCATTCCGTGACACTGCAAAGCACCTCACGGGAATTGGCGGCATTCCGCACCGAAATCCCAGATACTCTGAAACTGCTCGTTTCCAAGCTGGATGATATCAGGTCTCAAGTTGACTTCGGAGATGACACGCTCAGTTCCACGATTGCCAATATGAGCGAGGAGTTTCAAAAACTCATTGCAATGGTCAGCAGTCAAGGATCTGAGACCAGTGCAACACTGGCAAAGATCACTTCAGCGGCAGAAACTTCCGATTCGAATCAAGCTGCTGCAACGAAACTTCTGAGTGAGAATGTGGGTGGAACTCTTGGTGGTATTCTGAGCAGCATCCAAGGAATACACGGAAACCAGGGAGAGATCCAGAAGAGCATTCAGGAAATGCATGAAAGCACCATGTCCGAGATACGGCACAAGGATGCCAGTATTCTGGCCGAGGTGCAGAAAGCAAATGCTTCGCATGCGGAGCATTCAGCTCGATTCGAGGAAGCAAAAGCATCTGCTGATGCTCATACGAAAGCTTTGGGAGACGGATTTGCAAACTTGGGAACTGTTGGCAGGGAGTCACACGCTCGCCTCGACTCAATTTCTACGACTTTGGACGTGGCAAAGATCTCAAATGCAGCGCACGCTACCGCTTTGGATGCACTTCTCACTACACATAAACAGCATTCAACCTCCTTAGACGAGCTTCATGCTACTTCCACTCAACTTCTCAATGGCCAAGAGAAGTCAATCCCTTTCGCCGAGACTCAGTTCTCCGCCCTTGTTGCTCTCCACGACTCTGTTCCCAAGAAAGAAGACCTCGAAACTTTGCGAACCCATATTAGCACCGTTTTAGAAATTTTGAGAAAGCATAGCAGTGCTTTAGAAGGCGTTAGTACAAGCGAATCCATCTCTTCGCTGTCGAAGCAAATATCAGAGGCACGTGATCTCATTACCACCAGTACAGACGATGTACAGAGCGAACTCAAGTCTCTGAAACCGCTCCTGGGAGCTCAAGAGTCTCTCACAAATGAAGTGATGGCCGAGAACAACAATGTCCGGGAAAGCGTGGCCGAAGTGCTCGAGGAGATCAGATCGAATAAGGCTTTGATGGAGGAGCATTCATCGTCGGCTAGAACCGAAGGGACTGCGATCATGGAAGGCATCCTAGGACTCAGAGTCTTGTCGGAGGAAGCAAGGTTGTCTTCAGAATTGGCAGAAGTCAGAGCCTTGGTCCAGGATGTGAAAGACGGCGCCAAAGCTGCCGAGGCTGCACTTCAAGCACAGCTCAAATCCGTCATCGACAATGGCGAGAATACCTCCAGCTCTTTGACCGCAACTTCGCACTCAATTAAATCTCTCAGAGAGTCTTTATCTCCAGCGCCAGTTCTCGAGCGTATTGCGAACCTGAAAGCACTGGTTGAAGATATTGACGTTAATCTCGCTTCTGTAACCCCCGAAATTCTTGTTGGTACAAAGTCAATCGAGCATGCGATGATGTCTTATGCACGCACAATCATGGAGATGAATAGTCATATTCAGATCGTCAAAGATGATCCAACAACCTCCTTGATCTTGAGCGAGATTGGGACGATCAAGGAGACTGAGAGGAAAAACATGGATGCACTCCTTACAATGAATGATAGCCTGGGCGGCGTTGGTGGAAAGATCAAGGATAGTGAAACTGCAATTTCCAAATCACTTCAAGAGGTACAGTCCGCAGTTTCGCAAGCCGAATTGTCGAAGAAAACAGAAAGTGATGCTCTGGCGGCTGATCTCAGCCGTCTGGAGACCAGCTTAGCGACCTCAACAAATGAGCTGCGAGAAGCTATGAAAGTTGTCGATACTGTGGTCCAAGCAAACGAACAGGCTATTGGATTATCCCACAGCAAACTGTCTGATGTCCACACCATGGCGTCAAGAATAGCCGCAGATATGACTGGCCTCCACACAGAGCAGTTTCCAAAGCTCAGCCACGACATCCAAGCCATTAACCTCAGCAAACTGAACACTGCTGTGGCAACAACGGAGAAGGAACTCATATCCATCACTACCACCCTCGACGAGCTCACGCAACTTTCAAGAGGTCGTGACGCCTTGATTTCCTCGATCGACGCAAAGGTCACCCAAACCAACGATACCACAACAACGGGCATGACAAAACTACAAAGCTCAATTCAATCCATCGACACCACACTCACCCAATCAACCCAAACCTCAACCAAAACGCAGAACCTCTTGCAATCCCACACTCCTCTCCTCGAAACCATCAACTCCTCCCTCGCCTCAAGCGCTGCATCCACCACGAACACACTTTCCGCCCTCTCCACCACCCTAGATTCCATCTCCACAGAACTCAACACCGTCACTCCCGCCGTGCGTATAAACTCCGCCGCCATCTCGCGGGTAGACCGTGCTGTCCTCGAGACCGGCGCCCAAATCAAGAGCGTAGTCCTTGACGGCTCCGCCAAAACATCACGAGAGATCGACGCCGCACTCGAGCAAATCGACGAATCGTTACACGACAGCAACACACGACTGATGGGTATTTCCGACTTCGAGCTCCCAAGGATCGAGCAAGGGGTCAAGGAGTTAGAGGGCTTGGTTGAAAGGGAACTTGATGGCGGGGTGCGGGAGACGAGGCGGAATGGGAGTATGTTGGGCGTTATCGGTGCCCGGGTTGTGGGCACGCAGAAGTTGTTTGATGAGATGGTTGATAGCCATGAGCGGAGGGCGAGGGAGGAGGGGCATGGTGGTGGGGGCAGGAGTTTGGAGGGGAGTGGCGTGCTGAGTCCTGGTGGTCTACATCTCGGCGCGGGCGGGAGTCTCGCGCATGGCAGGGGTGAGTTTAGAAGGCTGGGGAGTAGTAGGTTTAGGAGCCATAGTAATGCGAGTAGTGGGAAGGAGACGAGCGGGAGTGTGGTGAAAGGGAACAATTCGTGATAAATGTGCTGTGATGGCTTTTCTTTTGTTGGTTTGAGAGTTGGATCGGGAGGAAAACATATATGTGGATGGGGTTTGGCGTCTGTTTAGGGGGAAATGATTTTACATATCTACTACTAGATACAGACTTTTCCTTCGCGCTATGAGAAAACCTGGTCAGCGTGTCAAATAGCAAGGTACCTAACAACCGGCAACAGGCGTGATATTTCCCCGTCCGCCATCGTCTGGTAGAAAATCATGTCTACCAGTATTTGAACAAAACTGGCAACTAATAGAAACTTATATATGACACTTGAAATAAAGGTTTATTTGACCGTGCAATCTGGGATAAGTTAGATAAATGGATTTTCTGGAAAGGTGAAGGGAGGACAATCACCATCCTAGGTAAGGCTCAGGACGGCAACTACCTCTAAATGTTATGTCTATAAGGGTTCTGATTCATTCATTTGCGTTGGAGAAACCGCAGTCCTAATTTAAACATACTGGCCGGGAGGAAATGTGTAGGAAACCCAGGGAATACACCATTCTATAGTTTGACATCGCCACCTTTGGCGGAATCTGTTCCATTCACATTAGAAATTTACGCTGGAAAACTTTTAACTGCAGGCGGGGAGTTTTCAAAGTCTCGGGGAGGACAGAAGGATGGCTCAGCTCGCTCGTTCCGTCTTGGAAACAACCTCTTTACCTCAACCAACGCCATTCCCTGACTGCAATTGTCACCACACCGGCACCGTTCTGCCGTCGAAGGTCATCGAGCCCTTGCATTGTATAATCGATCTCTTGCACACCCTCAACGTCGGGACCGAGTTAAGTCTCAAATACGCAACGAAGCATTCACTATGAAGACCTCAGGCTCAGACCCAGCGCACAAGTATTGTAAGTTAGTATATCCATTTCTTCTAGGATTTAACTGTCCCAATCGAACCAACTTCCTATAGGGATGCTCTTGGCTTCGAAATCGTCCAAATATTCGTTGGTCCAGAAAAACAGGCTTTCCAAGTGCACAGTAATCTGATATGCTCCGTCTCGCACTTCTTCGAGAAAGCTTTCAATGACGGTTGCGTCGAAGGCACTGAGAACAAGATGGACTTGCCTAAAGACGCCCCAAAGACAGTGTTAATGTTTGTTGCTTGGCTGTATAATAAGAGAGAGTTGGTGTTTGACAGAAAGAGTTGTGTCTCATCCTCAGGAAAATCGACCTTTTCATCTTCACAGACGCCAAGCAATGCAATCCACTGAGAAACACTGTACTGGATACCCTACAAGATAGGCTTTGCTGTAAGCATTTATCTCTTGCCGGGGGGAGGGGGGAGGGGAGGGTGCGTGCACAGCATATTTTCGAGAATACACGCACCAGTACAACAATCTCATGTTGCTCATTCTTTAGAGTTAAAGGTATTCCACTTCGTAATTTTATTTCTACGTTTCTCTATTCTGAGAAGAGCATATTAAAAAGTGTGGTCCACTAATAGCCGGTGCCTCTCCCACGCGCTTCGCTTGTGGTCGGGATAAGCAAGTGTCTCGTTTAACCAAGTATCCCATCGAGAAAATACGGGCCCTAAAATTTACATATGATCCTTACCAAAAAACGCGTCTTGCAATTGCGTATTTAGCCCAACTTATTAACCAATTTATTATTTAATTTATATATAAAGATTCCAAAAATAGATATACTATTATTTAATTCTACTAGAATTAGGAAGATATTCTGGGAGTATTTCTATTATCTATATACTACAGAAGCTAATTACTACCATATCTTTAATAAGACCCGCAAATAGTGCCTTGAGAATAATAATAATTCAGTAATTACTACTACAAGAATATATTATATTAAGGAAGCTTCTTTACGAAAATCAGTATTCTGTAAGTATAATAAGAAGAGGAACTCCCAAGAACTCTATAATACATATAATAGTAATAATAAGATCCTGAACAAGATATAGGAGCAGGAAATCAGGTAGTATTATTACGAGTAGTAAGAGGCTGGTTTAGGGGCTATATATTAGATAATTTAAGCTATAATTATATATTTAAAAGCTATAAGTATATCTTCTAAATCGAACTATTTAGCTAATATAAATAGGCTAAATCTCCTCTAAAACTATTACCTTTAGCTAGCTAGTTTAGTATATAGATACGGAATTACAAGATACTTTATATAATTAAAACAAAGCCAATTATATATATATAACTCAAATTTTATATAAAAGAGAATATTAGAATATGGTTACAGAAATATTATAATATTCTGGAAAAGCTTTATATTATAAAAGAAAAGAAAATTCTAAATATAAACAAGTCAGGAATATATATTAGTTACTTTACTTGTAACGGCGAGATTAATACAATAGTCAAAGGCTCAAAGTTTAAAGAATCTCATGTATTAGAAAATACTAAGCTATAAAACAAAGTAGGGAGGATGCCTCGACCTTTAGTATTATTCCGTCCAAGTAATTCCGGCTTAGCTTTATTTTATGCCTGTTTCCAATATCCTATCCTTAGCAGATCATGCCCTTACGCCAGCCATTACATTATTCCCCCCCTCCAAAGAGAAATCTAAATGCCCTTATTTAGGGAATTATTCAGCCGCAATATAGAAAAGAAAAAAAAGAAAACAACGGCCATTAACCCTATTCCGTCTAATCCCCATAGCTTACTTATAATCAAAGCATAATCTTGACTCCGCTAGAATAACCTAGTTCCTAGTACGTTCTGGCTAGTCCTCAGTATCCGTTACTCGTATTATGCCTGTACCTATATTAATAATATGGTCTGGAAGTGCCGTATAGGCTATGGCCGATATTAGGACTATTATTATCGGGCGATCTTTGAATAGGGGTAGCAAATCAAGTCCATTCATTAATATAGGCTTTAATATAATAGCTTGCTTGCCTTTCTTCTTAGCTAGGGTAGCGATATTTGGCTTAATTATACTGTCTCTGAGCTACTTAATTAACTTCTGGGCCTTCTCAAGCTTAATATATACATTCTCAAGTTATCCTTCTATAATAGAGATTTATTTATTAAGGGCGGCCACTTGAACTACTTTATTATCAAATCCCCGGGTCTTGAGCTATATAATCTTGGTCTTATAGAAGCTTCTAAGGAGTTTTCCGACTTCCTAAACGGCGTTATATACTAATTTATTAATGTCTATAGGGTATTACTCCTTTAACTCGGTATTCAGGATTATTTTCTAGCTCTTGGTTTCAGACTAGTACTTTATATAATAACTAGTACTTAGTACTATACGTCTTCTGGTCATAACAGGTATCTTAATACTAGTTTGGCCACCTTTATTATAGTCAGAGTCTTCTTTATTACTAGAAGTCTTTTCGTCCTTAGTCTTTTTATTATTAGAATCCTTACTATTATCTAATGCCTTATACTTCTTAGACAAGCTAGCCTTACTCTTTTTAACCTTCTTAGTATTTGGCTCCGTAAGGTTAATAAGGAAGCCCTTATTAATACCGTCCATTCCGCCTATTAAACTATTAGGCTTATTATTACTAGTAACCAAAACCTCTATTTCATTATCCTTAGAACTTTCTGCTAAGATATCCTCTATAGTAATTTCAGGTATATTCTCAAAAGTAGTACGGGCCATATTCTATATATTAATCTATTCTTGGGTAAGGAAATTACTATTTTTATTTATAAAGATAGTTTGGCTAGTAATTATATTAATAATAGTAATAGCTACTAAACTTGAGATACCGCCGCTACTACTCAAGTTACCCAGGATCTGGCGAGTAATCTTACTTAGTCCGGCTATAGATAATATATTACCGGGATTTCTTGTCTATTTCGTCTTTATTAATGGTTTTATTAAGGCAGTAGTAATAGTATAAATAATTAAGGTTATAAAGATTAAAGTAGTTAAGAAGGTTTCCCTCGATTTTTAATAATATTTCGAACTAATATAGGCGAGTATTTACTTTTAGTTTAGCTTTAAGAATTTACTTCTTTTTTTTATTTTATAATTTGCCTAGATAGCAAAATATAATCTAGTATAGTAAAAAAAGATATTTTGCCCAGATTTCTAGAAAAGAAAGTAGATACTAATATAGTAAAATAAAGAAAATATACTAGAGTTTAGATAAAACCCGGGAAATATCTAGGTTTTTCTTCTCTTTTTCTAGTTATAAAGGCCTTATTATTAAGATTTATTATTATCTAAATAGTCTTTATTAAACTCGTCCTCTTTAATATACTAAATCCATTTATTTAGTCGGATAGGAGATCCCGCTTTACCGGGGTTTTACTTGTGAAATTTATATAGTTTAAGTACTAAGTTCTTAAAGTTAATATAAGGTACTATTTATTATCTATATCCTATTTCTTTTATTTAACTTTATGGTAAAGCTTACTATAAAGTATTTTAGAAAAAAGAATCTTTTCGACTTCTTATTTAAGTTTGCTATTAACTTTAGTAAAACCAGGCTTTTTATTAGTTTAGCCAGGTAATAGATTAGTAGGATTCTTATAAAGTTTATTTATATAGAAAATTAGCTAAATCCTATATAATAGGGAAAAATCTAATTAATATAAATAGCTAACTATTTTATTAATCTTAAATAATTCGGTAAGGAAATAGTCTAATTTATTAGATAAATAGTCCGTTTTCTATATCTTTTTAATTATATAGATTATATCTCCTGAACCAAAATCTAGTTCTTATTATTTCTTATTAGCTTACTTGGCTTAATACTTCTGAGCTACTACTATATATTCTCGGATATAATTAATAGTAGTATTAATTCTCTTAGCCTACTATTATACTTCTTCCCGATTAAGTTTCTTTCTTAGTATTTTAAACTCTATTATTAGTAATATTTAGTTAAAGCTTAGCCAGGGTTTATATCTATAGTTAACTATTAAGGGAAATAAGCTAGTTAATTTATATAGGCAGGCAGTGCCTATAGTATTAAGTACCGGGAATAAATCTGTCTAATTATTCTGGAAATAATTAATAAAGAGACGAAATCGGGTATTAATAATCTAGTTAATAATTTCTATTTATCTATCGGTTTGGGTATATTCTATAATCGAGAGCTTTAGCTTAGTTCTAGTTAATCTTAATAGTTTATTTATAAAGTCTAAAATAAACTAGGGTTCTCGGTTACTTATAATAGTAAGAAAAGAACCTCGGAATTACTAGATATAGTAGTAGAATAGGCTAGTAATAGTTCTGGCTATAGTATTCTTGGTTATTAGTAGGCTTATATATTATTTAGATAATTTATTAACTATAATAAATATATTATTATATCTTTTACTTATAAAGCCAGGGATATAGAAGTCTATAGACAAATCGTCTCATATTCTCAGGAGAACTAGTAATAAATATAATAGGCCTAATATTTTATCTCTTAGCTTATATGACTTTTAATATTTATAATAATTTGCTATAAAGTAGTTAATATCTATAGAAAGAATAGGCTACTAGTAAAGTCTTTAAACTAGGATTTTTGTCTTATTTCAACCGGGATATATAGTAGTTATTATACCGTGAATTTATTATAAGAGCCTAGTTTATAGATTATTATATCCGTCTAATATAATAAGTCTTTTATTACAAAATATATAATTATTTAATATTTCCTATAGATTTATATTTTCCCGGGCTTTCTTATATTTGTTCTCTAGGGCTAGATCCGTCTAATTAGCTTATAGGACTTTAATTATAACTAATAGTTCGTCTATTTTTTTTTACCTTGGTAGAAGCCTGAGCTATATCTTTTATTTTGGTAAAAGCGAGAATTAGGTCTAATAGGATAACTTGTCTAGTTTTCTCAGCCTCCTTAGCCTATTTCTAGGTTAGTATAAGCTTGTTCTTTCGGGATAAGATATTAGTAATAATATTATCTTTATCCGGCTAATAAATAATCTAGTAATAGAATTATAATAGAAAACCTATCTATTAGATTTATTATTTATTTAAGAGCCTTTTAGTACCGAAATATTCGAGAGCTTTATAGTTAGTAATAATTAGAAAATTAGGTAAGCTAATTAGTTCTGCCTACTATTCCCGGAGTCCTTAGATAATAATAAGGAATTCCTTATTATGAATTTTATAATAGCTTTTGGCTCCTTAAAGAGCTTTAGAATAAAATAAGACTGGGTATTATTATCTGTTCTCT